GGAAAAGAAAAAATGCTGAAAACTGGGACCTGGGAGGGGAAGATTAAGAATAATAATAAAAAGGATAAAAGTATTAATAATATTAGTTGTTTTAAAACAGACAAATACAAGCAAACTAATCACCAGAAAAAAGAAAGCGAGAAAGAAAAAAATAAAAATAAAAAAAAGAGAAAAAAAAAAATCAGTGGAGGACAGGGCAGGACACCCAGGCTCTGTCTGAGTACACAGACTGTGATGGAGTTCCTGAGGGCCCAGAAGGTAGGTGGGAGTAGGGGATTGATGCTCCTCCGTTCACCAAGCGGGTGTGGAGTATAAGAGTAACAAGAGGAATGTCGTACCTTGTCAGTCTTGTAGGTCCAGAGTGTCCTTGTTGTTGCTGGAAAGCAGAACGTGTTCTCAAGCCCCAGAAATCTGTAAGCATGCTTTCTCTTTAAATATCCAAAATAGTCAAGCTGCTTTTAATCCTTCAAAATGGCGGTGCCCTCCAGACCAGCAAAAGTCCACCCCTCACCCCACCTTTCTCTTCACCTTCTCCGTTTATTCCCCAGCCACTGTGCACAGTCCTCCGTGCAGTCTCTGGCTAGCAGGGCTGATTTTTTGGTTAATTCTTAGGTCCTACCACCACTCGCAAATCTCCAAGCTGTCTGTGCTGTCAGGATTGCTCAGGATCGCTGCCAGACCACAGCTCCGTCTGTCTCCTTTTTTCCTATTTTCACGCAAATTCTTCTGCTAGTTGGTGTTTAGTCCACTTCTATATCCTTCCCTTCAAGGCTCAGAGGTCCAGGATTATCTTCTGTGTCTGTGTTAATTCGTTTCCCTTTTCTTTGTTGAAGAGGTTCTGTGCAGTCTTTCTGCCTAGTCCGCCATCTTGCCATCTATCCTCTTACGGTTTCTTGAAATAGTTTTTATAGTTTTCTTTGTACAGGTCTTTTGTGTCCCTGGTGTAAGATTTATTCTTAAGTATTTTATTTTTTCGTAGCTGTTGTAAATGGTATTGAATTCCTTATTTCTTTTTCAGCAATATCTTTGCTGGGCCCTTATCACCATTTTCGATCACTGTAGATTTTTAAAAACTGTCCTTTATGGTTCTTGTCCTGCAGAGGCACTGCACAGGACCAGTGCCAGTGACAGCAGTGTCTATACTTCCAGGCACTGCCCACTGGCCTAACATGCTTTAAGAGTAACAACAGAACTGATATTTGGGGTATTTGTCTTATACCCTGCATCTTGCTGACTTTTTTTTTTTTTCCCTAGCTGCTTTCTTGGGGAATCCTGGGATTTTCTATAAATATAGAATCATGTCCTCTGTGTATAGTACTAGTTTTACTTCATTTTCAATTTGGATTCCTTTTATTTCTTTTTCCTGCCTGATTTTCTGATTAGAACTTCCAGTACAATTTTAAATAGCAGTGGTGAGAATAAGCATCTTTGTCTTGTTCCTCATCTCTCTTTGGGAGAATTAAAACAAGAAACAACCTAAGCATGTTGCCAAAGAATTGATTCCAGTTCATGGTGACCCCTGTGTGTGTGTGTGTGTGTGTGTGTGTGTTTTACAGAGATAAGTTCTGTGTCTGGAGAGAACAATTTTAAATGGACTGGATTTCTGTCATTGGTTACTGTTGGTGATGTATATGTATATTATGCCTGGATATGGTAGGGTTAGACTTTGAGCTCTGAAGTCAGTTTGCCTGAGTTTAAATTCTGGCTTTTCTGTTTTTAACCTTAAACTCTTAGGCTTAAATTGTTGTTGTTGTTGTTATGTGCCGTCGAGTCGGCCCTGACGCATAGCGACCCCTCCTTGGGTTTCCGAGGCAGTATCACTACGGAAGTAGGATTGCCCAACCTTCCTTTCGAGGAGTGGCTGGTGGGTTTGAACCGCCAGCCGTCTGGTTAGCAGGCAAGTGTCTTAGCCACTATGCTACCAGAGCTCCCAATAGCCTGCTTAAATTCTGAATCATTTTCCTCGTCTGTAAAATTGGGGTCATAATAACAGTTAGTTATGGTTTAATTTATGCTTAATTAAGATACAGTGTGTCGAGTGTTCAGCACAATGACTGGCCCAAAAGATAGCCAAAGCTATTGATAATGGGGTGTTCTGAGACTGCATCTAGTAGTAGATTACTGATTACTAAGAGTAGATTACATTAATCTGCCAGTTATGTTCTGAGTAAAATAAAATACTGGAGATAGTTCTCCTTATTTAAGTTATATAAGCATACATAAATTGAATAGGACAATGGAAGACTTAGGTTTTTCATTGAATTCAGAAATGAGATATCTTAATGAACCACTTAAAATGAATTAAATAGCACATTAGTTCTTTCATTTTGCTCTCTGATTAGTTATTCTCCCATGACAGATTTTTTATATTGAAGTCTGTTTAAAAAGCAAAACAAAACTCATTTGACAAAGTTAAAATAAAAAAAGGGTAGCTTACAAACAGCTGTTTTTCTTCTTGAAAATACAGTGATAGTTGAAACCTTATTAAGAGAATGTACAATGTCAGCCTTTCCATGCCAGTGCTTGATGAGATGTTATAACATACAGAGTTAAAAATATTGGCATTTACAAAAGAAATAATACATTTATAGTAGAGTTAATATAGCTGATAATGAACTTAATGAAATAAGAAATACCTCTTTTGTATACTATAAAAAATTGAGTTATCCCTTTTGGGGAAATATTTCAGATTTGAGAAGAGGGTTTGTTTGGAATTGTTTAAGCAATATTTTAAATTTAGTTGTTTTTAGGATTGAGTGTGTGTATAACTATTATAGTAAATCATAGATAATATATTTAGATTATAAAATTTTATAATTCAAAAGAAATAGTCTATTTTTAATAATGGTAGCCATTTTTATTAGGTGGTTACTGTGGGCTAGGTAGGAATCCTGGTGGTGCAGTGGTTAAGCACTCAGCCGCTAACCATAAGGTCAGTGGTTTGAACCCACTAGCCACTCCACAAGAGATAGATGTGGCGGTCTGCTAATGTAAAGATTTACAGCCTCTTAGAAGCCCTATGGGGCAGTTCTACTCTGTCCTACAGGGTCTCTATGAGTCAGAATTGACTCAACTGCAGTGGGTTTAGTTTGGGTTTGGTGGGCTAGATTCTTTACTAAATGTTTTAAATACATTATTTAATTTTGTTAATATAATCCATTCATTTGGTGCTATAATAATGCATTTCATCTATAGCCATTTCAAATAATATGAAATAAGTTCTTCTATTATAACTGTTAGGAGCTCTGGTAGCATAGTGCCTAAGGCACTTGACTGCTAGCCAGAAGGATGGCGGTTCAAACCCACCAACCACTCTTTGGAAGGAAGGTTGGGAATCTACTTCTGTCGTGATACTGTCTCAGAAACCCAAGGAGGGGTGGCTGTGGGTCAGGTCCTATTTGATGGCACATAGCAACATGTTATAACTGTTAGTGTTTGTGTTATACAAATGTTGTGCTTAAGTATTATGTGGGACAACTGATTGCATAATTTCTTTGATTTGGGGATATTTAAATATGTATTTTCTTTTTCCCAGTGGTTAAGAATGTTAAGAATTACATTGATCGGTAATTGTTTTCTCTGTTGCAGAATTATTAGAGTAAATGGGTCCAGTAATTGGAATGACTCCAGATAAGAGAGCTGAAACCCCAGGAGCTGAAAAGGTTGCAGGATTAAGCCAGATTTACAAAATGGGAAGTTTGCCTGAAGCTATTGATGCTGCCAGGCCAAAGGCCACTCTAGTGGACAGTGAGTCAGCAGATGATGAACTCACAAACTTGAACTGGCTTCATGAAAGTACTAATCTTCTTACCAACTTCAGCCTTGGAAATGAGGGTCTTCCCATTGTTAGTCCATTGTATGACATAGAAGGAGATGATGTACCACCATTTGGACCATCTTGCTACCAGGACCCAGAAAAAAAATCAGCAACTTCAAAGCCCCCTTACTCTTTTAGTCTTCTCATTTATATGGCTATTGAACATTCTCCAAATAAATGTTTGCCTGTCAAAGAAATTTATAGCTGGATTCTGGACCGCTTCCCATATTTTGCTACTGCACCAACAGGCTGGAAGAATTCTGTTCGTCATAATCTGTCCCTGAATAAATGTTTTCAGAAAGTGGAAAGAAGCCATGGCAAGGTCAGTGTTTGTGAACATTCCTCTCTATTTGGTGAAGGGGGGGGGGTATGTAGCCAGGAAGCACTGAAATTATGGGGAAATCATAGAAGTTAAAATAGTTAAGTAATGTTATTTCATTTTGAATTTAGTTAATTCATCATTTACTTTCATTTAAGATGTTTCACAATTTCTTAAATGTTGATATAAATCTAACAATTATCTTCAGTCTACCATTGTTGTTGTTGTTGTTATGTGCCGTCGAGTCAGCCCTGACTCATAGCGACCCCTCCTTGGGTTTCCGAGGCAGTATCACTACGGAAGTAGGATTGCCCAACCTTCCTTCCGGGGAGTGGCTGGTGGGTTTGAACCGCCAGCCTTCTGGTTAGCAGTCAAGTGCCTTAGCCACTATGCTTCAGTCTACCATAGATACATAAATTAGTCTTTTTTAATATCCTGATTTTCTATTCTTAATGTTTGTAAAACTGTTTCAGTATATTATTTTAGTTATTCAGTCTGACAATCTCTGATTTATAATTAGAGTGTAGACCATTTACATTAATGTAATTGAATTGATAGGTTTTAAATCTATCACCTCACTACATCTACTCCTCACTGATCAACTACCTTGTTATCAGGTATTTCACATTTACAACAAATTTGAAAACATTATCAGGCAGTGTCTGTGATGGTCCAAGCCATGGGGCTATGTGGAGGCCTGGGTGCCTCCCATGGGCTACCCTAAATGATACACCAGAGGCCCCAGTGATAAATGGCCCACACAAGAGATGGCACCTGACTAGAGGGTATGCAATGATGATAGACGAATGCAAAGTTGTGGGTGGGCAGGAGTAGGTTGGGCGAAACCCTGAATGTGCTAGAGAGGTCAGTGGAGGGGGAGGCAGGTATGGAATGAGAGAGAGGGAGACCACATGGGGCTGTGAGGCAAGGGAAAATGGAGGACAAGTAGAATGCCTGCCAAGGTCAGATGGTGGGAGGCAGCAGGTGGCAGGCAATACCTGACCACTACTACTGTTAGACCCATGGACTCTGCAGTAATGGGGAAGGTGTGGTAGGAATGGGAGGACCACCATGCTGTGCACATTCTACAACTCACAGAGTGTGCCCAGTGGATGGTAAGCAACGAGGCAGAGGTACACTGGCTTGAAGAAGACAGGGCATGGCTCCCAATTCTAACATAATGCCAGTTTCATATAATGTCCTGGTCTTTGGAACCTAACCGTGTCAATAAGTGAAGTGTGAGTGTATTTATTTTCTATTTGCTCTATCTGTTCTTTTTCCTTTTCTCTGCTTTTCCTGCCTTCTTTTGGATTCAGTATTTTTTATGATTCAATATTATCTCTCTTGTTGACTTATTAGTTATATAGGTCTGTGGTGGTTTTTTTAGTGGTTAATACTGAAAACTATATTACATTAATGTAACATTTACATTACATATTACATTTACATTAAAGTTAATACTGAAAACTATATTAACCACTAAAAAAAAAAAACAACCAGAGACCTATACAACTAATAAGTCAACAACAGAGATAATATTGAGTCATAAAACAATATGAATCCAAAAGAAGCCAGGAAAAGCAGAGAAAAGGAAAAAGAATAGATAGAGCTCTGGTAGTGTAGTGGCTAAGGCACTTGACTGCTAACCAGAAGGCTGGCGGTTCAAACCCACTCCTTGGAAGGAAGGTTGGGCAATCCACTTCCATAGTGACACTGCCTTGTAAACCCAAGGAGGGGAGGCTAGGAGTCAGGTCTGACTTGACAGCACATAACAACAACAACAGTAGTTTTCAGGATACATCTTTAATTTATCCCAATCTCCCTTCTAATGATATACCATTTCACTTATATTATAATAACCATACTGTAGTATGCTTATTTCCCCTCCCTCATTTCTGCTATCATTGTACTCTGACACATATTACAAACCTCAATACATTGTTATATTTGCTTCAAGCAATCAATTTTCTCTCTTAAAGAAATTAAATTAGAAAAAATAACATTTTTATCACTTCTGGTGTTTCTTCATTCCTTTGTATAGATCAAGGCTTGGCAATCTTGCAGGCCAAATCCAGCCTTCCACATACATACATGCATACATATACATACATACATACACACACACACATAAATCAAATAAAGTTTAATTGGAACAACCCAAAGCAAACCCACTGCCATTGAGTCAATTCCAACTCATAGACATTCTGTAGGACATAGTAGACTGCCCCATAGGGTTTCCAAGGCTGTAAATCTTTACATAAGCAGATTGCTTCATCTTTCTCCTGAAGAGCAACTGGTGGGTTTGGATTGCCAACCCTTTGGTTAGCAGCTCAGTGCTTTAACTGTGCCACCAGAGCTCCTTAATTGGAACACAGCCATATCCTTTTGTTTACATAGTGTCTATGGCTCCTTTGACCCTGCCACAGCAAAGTTAAGTAGTTGCAATAGAGACCTTATGAACTGCAAAACATAAAATATTTATTATCTGGTACAGTGTAGTAAATTACATGGTATGGTTTTTCTAGCCATAGTCTTTGTAACTCCCACTTTCCCATGAGCAACTGAGTACCTGATGGTTAAAGTTATCCACCTGGAATATTTCTGTTGAAGCAGCACGAAATAATATTCTGGGAAGTTTGCTCTCTCTTAGGTGTGTAGAATTCTGCTGTTGGGATTGGTTGGGTTTGGCCACTTGGCCAGGCTCAAAAGGAGCCATCCTAGAGGCAGAAGGAATCTCTCTGACTGCCAGCTGAGAGAGACGTACTACTGAGAGATAGATATGGGAAAGACACGCTGCTGAAAGAGAGATGTGAGAGAGATGTGCTACTGAGAGAGATGGCCAGCTGAGAGGGATGACCAGCTGTGAGAGACTAAGCGTATTCCTGAACTTGAATTGTAACCTGTTGCTTCCCTAATAAACCCCATAATCTGTAAGATCTGTGTGGCTACTGCAGCAAATTATTGAACCCAGCACAGAGGTGGTGGGTGCTGCGAGAGGGACGGTTGGTGTCAAGGTTGGTAAGAGGGCTGGAAGGTGGCAGCATGTCTGACCTCATAAGAACAGGCCTTGGGCTCTTGATGGTGATTCTATCTTTCTCTTGCATGGAATTAGAGGTCAGAAGATGCTGCCTTCATGCCCCTTTAGCATCTAAACAACAAAAACAACTCACATTCATCAAGTTGATTTGACTAATAGCGACCCTTCCTTGAGTTTCCAAGGCAGTATCTCTATGGAAGTAGATTGCCCAATCTTCCTTTCAAGGAATGGCTGGTGGGTTTGAACCACCAGTCTTCTGGTTAGCATTCAAATGCTTTAGGCACTAAACCACCAGAGCTACTAAAACCCTACAGCACCTGGTATTCCCAGGCAGTCTCCCATCCAGGTCCCAACCAGGCCCAACCCTGCTTAGCTTTCAAGATCAAGTGAGATTGGATGTGTTCAGGGTAGTATGGCCATATATATAAAAAAAGTTTGCTGATCCCTGATGCCCTAAAACAGAAAATTCACTGTCATCAAGTGGACTCCAACTCATTGCAACCCTCATTGGATTTCCAAAACTGCAAATCTTTATGGAAGCATACTGTCTCGTCTTTTTTTAGTGGAGCAGCTGATGGGTTCAAACCACTAACTTTTTGGTTAGCACCCAAATGCCTTAACTACTACACCACCATAGCTCCTCTGGTGTCAATTCCTTCTGCCTGGACAAGTTTATGTAACCTTTTTTTTTTTTTTTTTTTCTATTTTTCCTCTCTCTTTATATTTTATTTATCATTGTTAAATTGTATGCAAAACATACAATTGAACAGTTTCTACATGTACCATTTAATAACATTGATTACATTCTTACAATTGTGCATCATTCTTACCCTCCTTTTCCAAGTTGTTCTTCCCTCATTAATGTAAATCCATTGCTAAGTTACCTATCTAATCTTTCAAGTTACTGTTGTCAGTTTCATTCCATGTAGATAGATATTAAAAGAGTGTAATGCTCAAGGCAGAACTTTTTTTTATTAGTTAAGAAACCATCTCAAAAATACATTTGACACAAATACCCTGAGGGAGTGAATCACTGGGCCCAAAGGCTTGGGACCATGGTCACGAGGGACTTCAAGCTCAACTGGCATAGCATACTACACAAAAACATTGTTCTACATCCTACTTTGGTTAATAGTGACTGAGGTCTTAAAAGCTTACAAGTGGCCATCTAAGATTCAACAATTGGTCTCCCCTCATTCAGAACAAAGAAGAACGAAGAAAACCAAAGACATGTGGAAACAATTAGTCCAAGGGACTAGTAGACATTGAGAACCTCAGCCTACATGACTATGAGACCACAAGAACTACATGGAGCCTGGCTACCACTGTCAACCACTAGGAAAGGAATCAGTGCAGGAGATCCTGGATAGAGTGGAGAAAAAGGTAGAACAAAACTCAAAACCATAAAAAAGACCAGGCTTACTAGTCTGATAGAGACTGGTGAAACCTCTAAGACTGTGGCCCCTAGTCCTCAGGCCTGGAATTGAACTCACTCCTGTGGCTTCTGGCCATACAATAGATAAGCTTATTAGGTAAACATTTACACCAAGTAGATACACTCCTTAGAACAGTCAACCATGGGAGATAAGAAGGGCAGTATTTGCACAGGGAGATAGATAGCTCAGAGAGCAGGAATACAAAGGAAAGAAGGACACAGGGAGGAAGTGGAAAGAGAGCTGTTACATTATAGGGATTGAAATAAATATTAGGAACAAAATATGTATGAACTGATGCATGGAAAATGAATTTGCTCAGTAAACTTTCACCCAAATACCAATTACAAAAAAAATAAAATGCATTAAACAGTAATGACCAAAGACCAGACAAGTTGTACGATGACATCAAGGACATCATGTGTGAAGAAAGCAAACGACAGTGGAAAAGATAGAAAAGATAAAAATGGAAGTAGAAGAGAATCTAAAACTTGCTCTTGAATGTGTTGTTGTTGTTAGGTGCCATCGAGTTG